TATCTGCTCCGAAAGCGGAGGATGTTGAGGATCAAAACAGGCAAACCGCCTGAGACATCCCCGCCATTTGGGCGCGAACGGAGGCCGTGCAATACCCCTGGCGCCCCCCCCCCCCTAAGGAGTGCTAAAACCAGCAAACCACCCGAGACATCCTCATCATCTGCCCATCGTCATCATCATCATCATCATCATCATCATCATCATCATCATCATCATCATCATCATCATCATCATCATCATCATCATCATCAGCATCATCATCATCATCATCATCATCATCATCCTCATCCTCATCCTCATCCTCATCATCATCATCATCATCATCAGCAGCAGCATCAGCATCAGCATCAGCATCATCATCATCAGCATCATCATCAGCATCAGCATCATCATCATCATCAACATCAGCATCAGCATCAGCATCATCATCATCAGCATCAGCAGCATCATCATCATCAACATCATCATAAGCATCATCATCATCATCATCATCATCATCATCATCATCAGCATCAACATCAGCATCAGCATCATCATCATCACCATCATCATCATCATCAGCATCATCATCATCATCATCATCATCATCAGCAGCAGCATCGTCATCATCAGCATCAGCCTCATCAGCATCATCATCATCAGCAGCAGCATCATCATCAGCATCAGCATCATCATCATCACCATCACCACCATTATCAGTATCATCATCGGCATCATCATCAGCATCATCATCATCCTCATCATCATCATCATCATCATCATCAGCATCAGCATCATCATCATCAGCATCATCATCATCAGCATCATCATCATCGTCGTCATCATCAGCAGCAACAGCAGCACCACCAGCATCATCATCATCACCATCACCATCATCATCAGCAGCATCATCAGCGTATTCATCATCATCATCAACCGTAGCATCATCAACAGAATCAGCATAGCATCAACACCATATCATCACCATCATCCGCATACTCATCCATCCTTCACCACCACCATCATACTCACATCATAATCTCGCCAAACCATGGTGAGCATCCTGACTACCATCATCATTGCGTATGGCTATGATGAGTACGAGTCTGAGCATAAGAGAGTCTGGCACATCCTCGCAATCTGCCCCCCTGGGGTGCGAGACCAAGTGAATCTGAGCATGAGTATAGTGGGTACGAGTCTAAGTCTGAATGGGTCTGAGTACGAGTGAGTTTGACTACGAGAGAAACTGAGGGTGGGTGGGTCTGAGTGTGAGTGATTCTGAGCGTGAGTAAATCTGAATGTGAGTGCGTCTGAGTATGAGTATGATGGATATGAAACTGGCCCCGGGTGGGTCTGAGTACGAGTGAGTCTGACTACGAATGAGTCTGAGGGTGGGTGGATCTAAGTGTGAGTGAGTCTGAGTGTGCGTAAGTCTGGGTGTGAGTGAGTCTGAGTATGAGTATGATGAGTGCGAGTCTGAGTATGAGTGAGCCTGATCACGAGTGAGTTTAAGCATAAGTGAGTCTAGGACATCCTCGCAATCTGGGCCCTCTGGGAGTGCGGAAATCAGCGCCTCGCCATAGACATCCTCAGAATCTGCTCTGACAGCAGACGAGTCTGACCACCACAACACGCAAGCCGCTTGAGACATCCGCGAAATCTGGCCCCCCTGGGGTGCGAAAACCAGCGCCTCGCCTGAGAAATCCTCTCAACCTGCTCCGAAAGCGGAGGATGTTGAGGACCAAAACAGGCAAACCGCCTGAAACATCCCCACCATTTGGGCGCGAACTGAGGCCGCGCAATACCCCTGGCGGCCCCCCTTAGGAGTGCTCAAACCAGCAAACCGCCTGAGACATCCTCATCATTTGCCCCGAAAGAGGAGGATGCTCAGGACCAAAACAGGCAACCCGCCTGAGACATCCCCAGATTTTGGGCGCGAACGGAGGCCGTGCAATACCCCTGGCGGCCCCCCCTTAGGAGTGCTAAACCAGCAAATCGCTCGAGACACCCTCATCATCTGCTCATCGTCACTCATCATCATCATCAGCATCATCATCATCATCATCATCATCATCATCATCATCATCATCATCATCATCATCATCATCATCATCATCATCATCATCATCATCATCATCATCATCATCATCATCATCATCATCATCATCATCATCATCATCATCATCATCATCATCATCATCATCATCATCATCATCATCATCGTCATCGTCATCATCATCATCATCATCTCATCATCATCATCACCATATCATCATCATCATCATCATCATCATCATCATCATCATCATCATCATCATCGTCATCGTCATCATCGTCATCATCATCATCATCCTCATCATCCTCATCCTCATCATCATCAGCAGCAGCATCAGCATCATCATCATCATCATCATCATCATCATCATCATCATCATCATCATCATCATCATCATCATCATCATCATCATCATCATCATCATCATCATCATCATCATCATCATCATCATCATCATCATCATCATCATCATCATCATCATCATCATCATCATCATCATCATCATCATCATCATCATCATCATCATCATCATCATCATCATCTCATCATCATACTCATCCATCATTCCCCATCACCATCATACCACGTCATACTCTCGTCATACCCTGGTCATAAGCATGACAATCATCACCATTGTCTAGTGCAGAGAGGGAGGAGGGGAGGGGTTCTCTTGGTCCGGCGCGGTCGGAGAATTACTCACTGCGTGGAGCTCCCCATATATGCATCTATTTGCATGGACTGGGTGTGGGTGAGTAATATGAGTATGGGTATGAGTACGAGTCTGAGCACAAGTGAGTCTGGCACATCCTCGCAATCCGCCCCCCCCCTGGGGTGCGAAAGCCAGTGAGTCTGAGTATGAGTATAGTGAGTACGAGTCTAGCTCTGAATGGGTCTGAGTACGAGTGAATTTGACTACGAGTGAATCTGAGGGTGGGTGGGTCTGAGTGTGAGTGATTCTGAGCGTGAGTAAATCTGAATGTGAGTGCGTCTGAGTATGAGTATGATGGATATGAAACTGGCCCTAAGTGGGTCTGAGTACGAGTGAGTCTGACTACGAATGAGTCTGAGGGTGGGTGGGCCTAAGTGTGAGTGAGTCTGAGTGTGCGTAAGTCTGGGTGTGAGTGAGTCTGAGTATGAGTATGATGAGTGCGAGTCTGAGTATGAGTGAGCCTGATCACGAGTGAGTTTGAGCATAAGTGAGTCTAGGACATCCTCGCAATCTGGGCCCTCTGGGAGTGCGGAAATCCCATAGACATCCTCAGGATCTGCTTTGACAGCAGGCGAATCTGACCACCAAAACACGCAAATCGCTTGAGACATCCGCGAAATCTGGCCCCCCCTTAGGAGTGCTAAAACCAGCAAACCGCCCGAGACATCCCCGCAATTTGGGCGCGAACGGAGGCCGTGCAATACCCCTGGCGGCCCCCCCTTAGGAGTGCTAAAACCAGCGAATCGCTCGAGACACCCTCATCATCTGCTCATCGTCATCTGCTCATCATCATCATCATCATCATCATCATCATCATCATCATCATCATCATCATCATCATCATCATCATCATCATCATCATCATCATCATCAGCAGCAGCAGCAGCATCATCATCATCATCATCATCAGCATCATCAGCATCATCAGCATCATCATCATCATCATCATCATCATCCTCATCATCATCCTCATCATCATCCTCATCATCATCCTCATCTCATCATCATCATCATCATCATCATCATCATCAAAAACATCATCATCATCATCATCATCATCATCATCATCATCATCATCATCATCATCATCATCATCGTCATCATCATCATACTCATACTCACACTCATACTCATCCATTGTTCACCATCACCATCATCCTCACATCATACTCTCAGCACACCATGGAAACCATAATGACAATCATCATCATTGTCTAGCGCAGAGAGGGAGGAGGGGAGGGGTTCTCTTGGTCTGGCGCGGTCGGAGAATAACAAGAACCCCATCCTTTGGATATGGGGTAAAACAAGAACCCCATCCTTTGGATATGGGGACTAAACAACCAACAAACTGGAAGGCGTCACAGGGTGGAGGGCTGTGGGGTCCCAAGAAGCTCCAACAAACGACCCACGTGAGGAGATTGAACGGTCTAGAGGGATGGGAAGGGGTCTGAAGGGGTGTAGGTGGCAAAATGAAAAAAGGGAAGATCCCAAGTCGCCATTCCCTACTGGACGACAACAACGACGACGACGACGACGACGACGACGACGACGGCGACGACGACGACAAAGACGACGACGACGACGACGACAAAGACGACGCCGACGCCAACGCCGACGACGCCGACGACGACGCCCACGCCGACGCCGACGCCGACGCCGACGACGACGACGACGACGACGACGAGCCGACGAAACGACGAAATGCTGAAACGACGAAACGACGAAACGAAGAAACGACGACACAGTAGAAGCAGCAGGTAGAGAAGCGGCGGACGATGACGCTTGTGAAGTCCGACATCCGATGGGGCGCCCGCGGCGGCGAGCACGGAGGGAGCCCGCGGCGCCCGCGGACCTCGCGGCGCACCCTCGGTGAGTGACGGGGCGCGGTCGCCTCATCCTCCATGGATCGGGGGAGGTGCCCTCCCCAGAATGCGGCGGGTGCCGTCTCGCTCGGCGGCGGAAACTCGCGATTCCCCATAGGGACGGGACCCGTCGCCGATCCACGCCCCCCTGATCCGCGTTTGCGGTCGTCTGAACCTCCTTGGCGCGCACCAGCTCGTCGGGCGGTTCCCTTGAGGCAGACGCCGCACGTCTCCGTGAACGCCGCTGGGTCGCCAGGCCTGGCCGTCGTTGGGGCCCACGCGGAGCTGACCCTCGGGGCTGGCCGCCTCGCCAGCGCAGTCCACGGAGTAGTCCTCCGTGCCGCCGCCATCTCCCAAGCTCTCCCGCAAGCTCTCCTCCTCCACTGCCTATCCG